AAAAAAAAAAAAAAAAAATACCACCCTGATCATCGTAAAAATCCCACAAGGTCTGTCTTTCTTCAGCCCCTCAGAACAAACCTGCCTCTGGACAACGGTGCTTCACACAAACACCATGGGAGAGCTTCACCATCCGGACCCAGAATCAGCCCAGCGTCATCTTTTGTACTCTACTCCTGTGGGCAGAGTTAAGTCCAATAATAGGGTAGGGAAACAGATGTAAGCTGGGCCCTCCCGAAGCATCATTTTTAGACCCCCAACCTACAGAGAGCCAGTGCAAGTGTTATGGGTTAATTATAATCAGCAGGTCACTCAACAGCTCTGAAATCTACCAATGGGAAGATGAAACAAAAATGCACTTGTTCTCTGAGCTTCTGCTCAACCAAAGCTGCAACATCAGAGGCAGTTCTCCGGTGACAGTTCATGTGCTGTGCACTCAAGCCCCAGTGACAGGATTTATAATGTTTGTTTTTCTTTTCAGAATAAGTTTCGGCAAAGCAGCATAAGTTCTCCCCCGAGAGGCTTTCAGCCTGGACCAGTAGTTCTGGACTGCAATCTGCAAAGTTTTCCCTCTTTCCCCATGTACTATTCTCTATTCTACAGAAGTAAATCAGACACCTTGGAGACGAGACAGGGAAAAAAAGACTGATCAAAACTCAGTTTCCAAAGTTTATGAGACAAACACATGCATTAATCTTTTTATACAGTAAGGGGAATACACTACAATAACCACTTCTAGGAAAAAAATAAAAATCTGTAGGTCTCTTAAATTCCCTGTTATGGGTAGCAGTGGCTGGTGGTGAAACCCCAGAGGGTGTCGGGAAGTGTGGACAAGAGCCAGGGGCTCAGCCTGGAAATGCTGAGGTTGGGGGACACTGGCAGGCAAAATGTTCAGAAAAAACCCTGGGCCCAGCCATCCCTGCAGCGTCCTCCAGCCAGGTCCCACCTGTGGCCAGTTCCCTCAGTGGCCAAGGATCTTGAATTGGAGGACAGGACTGGATGCTACCCTTAAAGGGCCAGCAGTATTCAGGTTCCTCCTGAGAAGGGGAAGAGGAAGTCTGGGACCAGCTCATCCATGAGGCTGATTTTACACATTAAAGGGTTCCCTCAAACACTGTTCTGTAGCAGACACAACCCCCAAGTAGGAGGATTACAAACTACATCAAGTGTTTGGACATTTCTGAAATTAGGTCAAAAACAAATTCCTCTTAACAAATATTCCCATTTTTTTATCCCAAACTATAGTTTCTTTAGTGTCTGTAGGAAATCTTTTTAAGAATTTAGGGCATTTAATAAAACACCAAAACTGTAAATAAACATTGGTGGTCAAGTTATGAGAGTCATTTCCCATATATTCAAATAGATTGATTACATTCGGTACTGAAGGAAAAGGGGGCCCTGCCCACTTAAGGCACAGAAGTAAAACCTGGGAGCTAAATCTCTCTTACAAAGTGATGTCGGGCCAGGGATTTAGCTCAATGATTTCACTGCCTGCCTTGCAAGCACAAGGTCCTGAGTTTGATCCCCAGAACCAAAATAAATAAATAAATAAAATAGTGACGTCAAGGCCCCACTCACCTGAATTTTTATTGGTCTTGTTCTGTCGACTCTTAACTTGCTCAGTCCAAAGGGTGGGGTAGCGTGAGGCAATGTCTAGTGAACCAAGGCAGAAAGATAGCCCATTGTGAACACAACAGTTGCTCTGTTAAAGATTTCAGCAGATGATCTACAAGCCCTCCAACTCAATTTAACAAGTTGTATAACTTTTCTGAAGAAATATTAAAATAATTACATACATGGCAGACAAAAGGAAATAATAACACCCCTCTTCAAATATTTTAACATACTTTTCCCTTCATCCTAATTAAAAGTTGTTTGACTCCAGAAAGTTCTACTCTAAAAGATCTGGGTTTTAGAAAACTGTCCAAAGTACAATAATATATCCTACAGGGCAATTGGTTGGTTATTCACATAACATACAGGCTTTCACTCTGTTCAAAGGTTTAACACAAGATGTGAAATCCAAAATATGAGTTTTGTACAACTTTTCAGAAGCGCCCCATTTTAGTGATACTGTTTATTGACTAAAACTGCTTTATGTGTGCATCACCACTCTGTCCTGAAAACATAAAAAAAAAAACAAAAAAACCTCTCCCCATTTCCACCGCACACCCCTGGTAATCACACCTTTTCACTATCTTTCTGTGCATTCTAGTTTTGTTTGGGGTTTCTCACCGATTCTGCATATGAATGGGATCCTACAGAATCTTGCTGGTGTGTCTGGCTTATCACAGCCTACTCTGAGCTGGGATGACTGGGTTCTGTCTCCCTTAACCCTGCCCACGAGCCCATATCATCCCTGGGCTTACCTTCCTCATCTCCCTGAGGCTGAGTCTCCAGAGCCGGGGCCACGGCATCATCTGAATTCAGAACGGAAAAGATTTGCAAGGAGACTACAATTATGAGAGTAAGCTAAGTAAGTGTGCATACAGGACGAGTGCCGGACCCATACAGCCCCCACACTGACCCACAACAAACCCACCAAACAAACACAGGCACCGAGCAGGGCTGGCCTAAGGCGGGAGTGGACACATGGGTGGGCTGCTGCTTTAAAATGCTGTGCCAGACAGGATATGGGGTGCGATTAGAAACCACTGGAGCCAATGACCGGCAGTAGGACAGAAGAGACAAAGATGGCAAACCGTGAATGGGGAGCCACCCCCAGGGAAGGAAATTCCAGATCAGCGAAGTCACGAATTCAGGATACCAGGTATGTAAGGGATTTTCCCCCATATGCCTCTTGATGAACTGGATGAGGAATCCCCTATCAGTGCGATCTTGTGTCTCTCCTCCTTCATAGTATTTAATCAATTCTTTTAATGTGGAACATTACCATTTCCTTTTCCCTAAAAATTATCAATATGTCTACCCTGTTATCTTATACATTCAAATTCAAGAAGCAGCTTCCCTCCTTCCTTCCCAGGGGCAAACCCGGAGCCAGGGTCCCAGTCATGCCTATCACTCCTTTGGCTGGAACACGTGCCCTGCACCAGGGGGCATTACATCTGGCCCTATCTTCCATGCACCCTTGTCAGGGTGAAGCCTGTCCTCTTCCGTGAAAGCACCCTCTCCCCTGAATCCTCACGTGATGTGTCCCCCATCTGCCTGCATACACTTGACCTAAACACATTTCCTCCTGGTTCACAGGTCTTTCACAGATGGTCTCCAGGACAGGGACAGTGCCTGCCAGCATCCCAATGTATTCAAGACAGTGGAATAAAGCTCAGTTGATCTGTCTTTATACCACTGGTCCTTGCTACTGTGCTATCATCACATCAGGAAAAAGGAAAAGGCCTAAGATGTTGGCACTAAACCCAATTTCCTGTCACCATAAAAAGAATTTCTGACTTTAAAGATTGAGGTCAGATGAAAGAGGAAGTGTGTCCTTGGGATGGAGGGCGACAGCAGAGGGGAGGGCAGGAAGAAAGGGCAAAGGGCTGCCCTGGTAGCCACCACAGACACATCACCACCAAGAAAGGATGAGCTCAAATTCCCCAGTATTCTGAAGGGGAAGAGGAGAAGCTGCCTGTCCCACCCCACAGAAGTGCCTGCTGCAGACAGAGAAAGTGCCTCCTCTTCCAGCACTACATCCTTTACGGTCCTCCATGACTGCTGTACTTGACAATTCTAGGTAGAGGCAAAAGGGGGAGCTCCACCCGCTCCTCAGGTGACCTCCAGACTTGCCAGGTAGTCCCTGACACACCTAGAGACTGATACACCTGTAGAGAACCCAGACACTCCTGCACAAGATTCTGACACACCTAAGTAGTACCTAACATATCCCTGGCACACCTGCAGCCATTCCTGGTGCACCCAGAGTGGTCTCTGACACATTTGTAGTAGGCCAGAAACACCCGCTATGTGGTTCCTGACCCACCCAGTCAAACCTGACATATGGGGCTTCTTGACACACTTGTATAGTCCCTGCACAATGAAGCTCCTGACACACCCACAGTGCACCCGACACAAGCCAAGCAGAGAAAGCCCTGAGGTGGACCCTCGGTTTTCTTGTAGAGTGTGTGCCCAGTATCTCGGAGGTAATTCACAATAGTAAATGTTGGATATGTTTGTCGAATGAAAAAAGAACTAAACAACTGTTTGACATTCAATATTGTCACTGCTGTATGATTAAATGCCAATTTGAGAATTTAAGTAAGTTATAAATTGAATTAGATACTATAAATCATCAAGTAATTTCATTTTTAATAGTTACCTGTTTTTCCTGTGCCTTCCCGTTGGGGTAACTTTTCATTTACAGAACCTAGAAGAAGAAAATAAGGAGAGAAACTATTTTTGAGTTACAAAGGGTTATCAGTGATTAAGCTAGGCAACTAGATTTTGGTTAACCCACAGTGCTGTCCCTTTCTGGTTAAATTATGTGAGATTTCTGGGGTGACCCTGACCCCCACAGTGACTAGGAGATCAGTTGCCAGAGATCAGTTCCTACTTCTAACACTAAGTACTTGGGCATATGAAACCCACTAGCCTAGCGCCAGACAGCTGGAAAATGTCATAAGGACGGACACCTTAGCATGCACCTCCAGACTGGGGAGCTGAGGCAAAAGAGGGATGGTTTTGAAATAAAAGTTGCATGACTACAGATCATTCAAAATCCTAGTTTCAATTGATTCTGAACTACAGAGGAGAAAATTGAAGAACTATATTTTTGTAGAGGAATACAGGATATTTCCTAGGTAATGTGTGACTGAGTAATTTGTAAGAAAAGTCATGCACAATGCTATTGCCACATAATACAACAAATTCAAGGCATGGTTCCTTCTTCCCTAACAGATTATAACTGCATTAGATACCAACTCCTTCTTCACACATCATTATTACACCTGTTCTAAGTAATAAAACAAGTGCTGGGTAACACTCCTCAGCAAAAACACCGCAGAGCCTAAAACGTATCCATCACTCTTCTCGACTCTGAATGTGACCTGGAAATGCAGACTGATGTTTATATTAAAGATACGAGCATGGGGATACTCGTGAGAATGGCTATGGGTCTTGGTGACAATCACGACATGCTGGGGCGTGCACCGGTGCTTCAGTGGATTTGAGGCAGCGGGATCTATGGAGGTAAAACTCAATCGGCGTAGGCGTCCCTCGGCGCACACTGATTGCCAGTACGGCTTCAGAGAAGCTTGCTGGAGCCTTGGGCAGAAATACACTTGTGTTCTCATTTCTTCCCTGGGTGCCATCTCTGCCAATCCAGATCTTGTAAAGAGCTTGAGTTTCTTACCCATCAGTTTATTTTCATCATGTGTCGCTGTGATGAGGCCAAAAAAAAATCCTTCTTTTGACTGAAAATGACAGTGTTTCAGTAATTTTTCTGCACACTAGTATGTGGGTTTCAATTTAAGGAAAATATAAATGTGCTAAATAATAACGAGACTGCCCTTGCTCATGAAAGAGCTGCTCGACTGAATTAAGATAAATTTTTGTAATCTAAGATTACAGTAGTATAAATTGTGGACTCACAACTTGATTAGAGACTGCAATCAGAATGCAGCATATAGCAATGTCTGCCCTCACCCCAAGCAACGTTTTTCTCTGAGCCAGTCACCACTGTGGCTTGCTCATCAGTCCTTTGAACTCAATCAGCATTTATGTAGACAAATTTATACAAAAATAATTCTATCTGCTTCTAAATATGCAAAAAAGAAGTTTACAGAAACACCAAGTGTCCTTTACCATGGGGATTTTGGAGGAGGTCCCTATGGTATCTTTCCTTGGTCCTCTGCCTGCCTGGGGGCAAAATGGCCCCCCCATCCCACAGCCTTCCTGCACCATGTGGGCCTCTGGGACCTGGAAGCCTCTAACTTCACTTTCCACTCTGCTATAAAACCCATGGGCCCAAGCAGCAAGGATCCAGTACAAAGCACACAGCTCTTTCTCCTCTATGGCATTTTCCTACAGATAGGGATCTGCTGAATTCTCTGGGGTTTGTAAGAGGACTGGTCTGGGACAGTTCCTGGACCTGAGGCCTGCTAGATGGATGCTCATAGAGGGGAAGACTAAGAATGGAAGATACTTTGTGCTATCCTCTTCACACCAGCAATGAAAGGCCACAGATACATTTCTTCTATGTGAGCTTTCATCCCACTTAGCTGCCACTGAAAAGGGTGGCTTTCATCAGGGTGTGAATTTGTGTTCCACTAAGGACACTATGAGACCAGCATGTGTGGCTCACAGAGAAGCAAGGGACTTTGCACCTAAAGTTCTCAGCACTTGGTTCAAACCAAGCAGGGTGCAGGAAATCCAAGGTAGCCCAGCAGCATTCTGCTGAAAGGGGTGTGCTCCAGGATGAGTCCCTCCAAAGATATCATGTGTGCTTTAAAACAGCAAAGCCAGGAGGACATGGACACAGTGTCAAAGAAGGGCATGAGTCTAATGGGCTACCCACTGGTACTTGCCCAGGGAAGAAGGGCCCCTCCAGGACATGCCAGCATGGGACCAAGCGCTCTGCAGTGACACCCACAGTGTGAGCTCTTTCTTGAATCACACCCCTGGGCTGCAGAAAGTCTCAGGTACTCTGCCAAGAGGAAGAATGAGAAGCTGGACAGTGCTTCATCCCATTGGCAAGTGCACCCTGCTTGCTGCTGGCACTTCTCAGTAGTGTGGGCACCTCTGCCCTCTCCTTCTCTAGTGGGACAGCATGAAGGTGGCCTGGGAAAGTGGTGGCTCCTGAAGGTGTGTCAGGGTTGGAGCACAGGGCTGGTGACCCTTCAGAAAGACCAGTATACGGTACAGAAGCCCTAAAGTAAGACATCCAGACATACAGAGTCCTTCCCTTCCTGTGCAGCTCACATGTCCACAAGGAAGAAGCCAAGTGGGCCCAGAGCAGCCAAGCAGCAAGATGCTGTGTCTGGGCAAAGGGGTGCCCCCTTACCTCTGCTGGCCCCTTTCCTGCCCTGATTCATTCATCCAGGCAGCACATATCCATCATGTGCCATGGGATAAGTAGCCAAGGGGGACAGCCTCGGAGTCCAGTCCTGTCCAGTCTAATCCAGGGGACAGCACTGCATAGGGAGCTCTCCAGGGACGCCCAGTGCAAGCCACCCACACCATGCTCAGTGGGATCCACTCGCTGCTCCTGCAGCCTTGTGCACTCACTATTTTAAAGCTGACAGTGGCCCATGGTGTAGATGCCACTGCTCCCCAGAGGAAGGGACTGAGGCCCACAGGGGTACCTGGCTGCTGAGTGAGGGACCTTTCCCCTCTGCCAGCATGTTTCCAGCCCAGGAGCTAACTGGATCTGAGGAAGATGGAGAAGTGGGCAGCAGGGAGAGCAGACAGCAGGGCAAAGAGACTGCAGAGGCCTGCGGCAGGGCTGTGTAGGGACACAGAGGATGTGGCTCTCTGCTCCACTGCAGGAGCTCCCTCTGCAACCTCTGGTCCATCTGCCAACGAGCGGCTGTTATATGAAGCTCCCTGCTCAGCAGGGCTCTCTGATCCCGGCCTGAAGCAGAAGCCAGGTGGGAGGACTGAGGAGAAGACTGGTCTTGGGCCTACACGCCAGAGCTCAGGTCACCAGCCCAGTTCTGCACATGCAGCCTGACTCCAGACCTCTCCAGGGGCTGAGACAACGGTGGTGCTTGAATGCACCAGGGATAGCACAGGGGAGCATGGGCACACAGTGGGCCCATGAATGCCCTGCATGTGCCGTACTCTGTCAGGGGACTGACTGAAAAGACGCCAGAGGGCCAGCTTTTCTAAAACTCAAGACAGACGGCATGATGGCTTCCCTCCCTAGATTCCTAGGAGAAGAAGCTCAAAGCTTTGCCCAAAGAAGTTTAGCCCATGACGTGGCTCATTCCACAACTCCCAAACTGTGGCCCCAGGCCCTCCCCAGCTGTGGGCACCTTCATCTGTGTACCCCAACACCAGCCCAGTGTGGGGAATCTACACTGTTCTCAAGTGGGGGGGCTTCTTGGAGCTCCTGTTCTGGCTCTAAGCCAGAGTAGCAACTTGCAGAACCAGCCTTAGTGAACGAATCACATGCCTCCGGGTGTCTCTGAGTAAATAACAGGAATAAGCAGCACTTCATGCTACATAAGAAACTCGTTATCTAGTAAATTTCGTGATCAGAGATTTCAAGTGTCTTAATTCAGGAACATATGAACATCAGGAAGGAGAAGCCTATGCGTTTTAGTCTCACGCTGCAGTCGATATGCTTTTATATTGCAAGAATAATCTGCCGTTATTCTTGAACAAGCCACACAACCCAGGACTGTTTGCTCTGAAAACATTTTGCTTTCTTTCAGGGATGTATGAGATATTAGAAGACATGAAGGAATGGCCACTTGGGCACCGGGTGTGGTGAAGGACAGTGTGCAGGGCACTCTGGCAAACTACCATGCAGCTCTTCACAAGTCAGACACCAAATCAAATGGACAAGAGAGAGGGTTATGAGAGGCCTACATGCATCAGGCATGGAGAAGTACTATTTTTTTTTCAAAGAGGGGAGAACAAAATTAGTATTTTTCCAGAATAAAAAAATAATAATGCTAAAATATTTTTCTTTGAATATTTTCATAGTTCAAAAATAAGTCCAAATTTTAAAAGAGAAGGGAAGCAGAGGCCAGGCCCAGGGACATGGCTTACCCCAGAGGGACCAGGACAAGTCCAGGTGTGAGAAGTCCCACAGAGGGCCCTTGGTTCTCAGACGGGGTGACACTGGCTATCTGCTGTCACACATGGGCCACGCCTCTAACATGTTTAATTTACAAAATAAAGTTAGCATCAGTTACAAGCCCTCAGAAATTTCTTTCATCTGGGCCAGGGTTAGGGTTAAGGAACACATTTGTGAACTTGTTTATGAAATTTTACAAATTTTATATGCTATATCCAGTTACAAGTTTACCTCATCAAGGACATAAAATGAATTTTCTCAACACAAAACATGTTATAAAAGTACAGTCTAGGGGCCAGGTTGGGGACTTAGCTCAGAGGCTCCATGACTGCCCAGCAAGTTCAAAGTTCTGAGTTTGACTCTGGGTACAGGAAAAAAAAAAAAAAAAATTATACCTAAAAGTACCAATAAACTTAATGAACAACAACAACAACAAAAAAGACAAGTAGTTTTGTTTTTGTTTTTGTTTTTTTAAGACAAGGAGTTTTTTCAGGAAGCAGCAAAAGTTCACAAGAGTAATAAAATCGAGTAACAGAATAAAAATGACAGACAAGAATAAGAGGTACTATAGATAGGCTTAATGGGAAAACCAAAACAACAGGTGTGGCCTGGGTATACAGCTC